TGGGGGAGTTTTATCTAATTATAAATGGCAAAATTACTGTTCCATAAACAAGTTGTACATATACAATATTACACATATTTCTATTTAAAATATTAGAAAATGTTATGAAATACTACTTGGACACTTTCTAGAGCATGAATTAATATTCTAAATTTATGGTAAATAGGTTTATCATTAACTATTAACCAACATTTAGTCCTAAACTAGCTAGTAGCTACTAACTAGAGAGAAAGCTTAATCCCAGCTAACCCAAGTTTTTGTTTTATTTTATAAATGATGTCTATTTAATTGGATGCTTGCTTATTGTTTTTTGCTAAAAATGGTTACAGAAATTGCAGGCTTCATATCAAATTAATAAAGCTATAAAAATTTAATATTTAGCTTGAATTTCTGAGGCTGATGATCAACATTTTACTGACCATTTAAAAAAATGCATTTATTAATGTTTCAGGCACTACAGTATTCAATACCATCTTCATGGAAAGCTCTGCATGTGTGTTTGTGCTCATTTAAAACAACTTTAAATTTAAGTGACGTGGCTTACCTGTGGTCCCAGTAGGCTTGTTTAAAGCTGTCATAATCTGGGATGTCAAAGTCATCAGCCTCCCAGGTGCACTGATCATACGGCAAATCTCTCCACTTAATCAGGTAGTGTACATCTCCATCCTTATCAAAACTTAAATTTACACAACACAGTCTTAAAGCATATAATCATATCATAATTTTCTGCATGAAAAGTATGTTGTCTGAAGTATCGCATTAGCACTAGTAACTGTGGTCCACCATACCTGTGGTTGAGGAGCCGGTGAATGATCATCCACTCCGGCTTGATGCCGTAACGGTAGAAACGTTCCTCCATGGCTGCATACTGAGGGTCTTTGCTCCTCCTCTTCTCACTGTTAAGTTCCTCCTCCCCAGAGCCATAGTCGTATGGTGGTGGTTCGTCCATGTCGTTCTTCCGCTGGTAGTTACGGTACATTACTGAGTGATATAGCTCCAACTGCATCAAGGGAAAAAAACAGAGATCAGAGATAAAGGAACAAGCCAAAAGAGCATGCATGATTTAATGATTTAATGAAGCTGGCTCTGTGGAGGTAATGTGGGAATCCCACCTGTAGTTCGCTGACCCAGGAGCAGTGCCAGTAGGACAGCCCAGCCCATTTCACAAACAGCTGCCTCTCTGGACGACCCTTTAGGGGCATTTTAGCCAAACCATCCACCTTCTCTCCATCTCGCCCAAAGGGAACCTCAGGTGGTAGAGGAGGATCGCTCCACACCCAGTGCAGAATCTTCTGGACTTTGCCTTTTAGTGGTGGACACTAGAGAAAATATGGATGCACAATGTTCAAAACAATACATGCCTTTATTTGGGCTTTAATAGTTTGATTTCAGCCAGGTTTAAAATGTCATGAAAGTGCTTTTTCATAAAACTGCATTAAATTCATCTAAATTCATCAAAGAAAATTCCTATTCATCAAAGAATCCATATAAAATTTATCATGGTTCCCATAAAAACATTAAGCAGCATAACTGTTCAACTTTGATAATTATAAGAAATGTTTCTTGAGCACCAAATCAGCATCAAATGATTTCTGAAGGATCATGTGACGCTGAAGACTAGAGCTGTTGAATGTTCAGCTTTGCCATCAATGGAATAAATAAAATTTTAAAATATGTTAAAATAGAACTTTTAAATTCTAATAATATTTCACAATATAACTGTACTTTTGGTTAAATAATAGAGCCTTAATGAGCATTAACATGTCTTTTACAAGTTTTGTATTATTTTCAGCTATTTTAAAAACTCTTCAGAATGATTTTAAATGAAACCGACCCATGCAGACGTTTCTCACCATGCATCGTGGACACAGCCATTCTCCATTGGGAATTTCAGGAAGTGGTGGGTTGAGACAGTGGATGTGGTAGGAGGAAGGGCAGGTGTCACAGCACAGCAGCTCTCCTCCGTCCTTACACACTCTGCAGAACTCCATGTGGTCATCTTCCTCCTCACCAGCAACCTCGTCTTCCTCCTCCTCATCATCTTTGGCCTCCCACTGAATGCCTTCTTTTTCCTGAGAGATGAGGCAGTGAACTGTCAGTCTGAATAGCACAGGTTCTGTGGTCTTGAATATACTAGAATGTATTTTTTTGCAAGTATATGCTTGTGGTGAAGCAAGGAGGGATTTCCTCACGCAGTGGGGGCAGCTCCATTTGCCCTCAGGGGCTTTCTCCAGTTCTGGATCCAGACACACCAGGTGATATGCTCTGGGACAGGTGTCACATAGAATGATCTCTCCTCCCTGCTGACAAACCTCACAGTAATCTTGATGGTCTGTCTCGTAGCCGTCTCCATCCTCTCCTACATTGACAATAGAGTTTAAAGAGAAACCTAAACGGTTTACTGAACAGAAGTACTGTGCAATTTTAATACAAAACTTCACAATTTTAACAACAATATTTCAATACATCAGTATCTCTAAAAGTAATTTTATTTAGCAAGGACACATTAAATTGATTCTGTTCTTTTGAACTTTCTATTCATCAAAGAATCCTTGAAAGAATGTACCATGGTTGACACAAAAATATTAAGCTGCACAGCTGTTTTCAACTGTGATAGCTAATCAGCATATTAGAATGATTTCTGAAGGATCGTGTGACACTGAAGACTGTAGTAATGGCTATAATAATATATAATTAAAATATTAATAGAAACTATAATAGTTCAATACTAAAATAACTGTTGTGAAGGGTAGTGCAATAATATAATAATAATAATAGTAGTAAATTTACTTTTTCTTTTTTTTCGTCCTTGTCGGGCTGACTTCTTTTTGGGTGCCGCTGAAGTGTCTGAGCGTACAGAGGCACTGTGAATGCTGATGTCATCAAAGTCTGAAAAGTCATCCAGGAAATCCTCCTCGCTCTGAGTAATAAGACAGTTTATGCAAAAGGCACAATAAGTCTTCATCAAAAATGAAAAGGTCATAACTTGGAAAACAACTTCAATAATAACCCAATAAAACTGGGTGGAACAAGAACAATGGGGAAGTATATCTATACAAATGATCCATGAATTGTTCTGGGAAGTGGAAAAGCTAAAAAAATTATTCGATTCTCTCTCAGTTGAAAAGCTATGGGGCATCTTTCCATGTGATACACATTAAGCCCTAGAAAGATTTCAGTGAAAGCGTGTTCTCACCGAAGAGCCTTTTTTCCTTTTTCCACCCTGGCCTGCTTTCGATTTGGACTTCTTCTGTTTCCCTTTCTTTTTTGTTTCTTTCACTGGCTTACTTTTTTTTTTAGCACCAGGCCCTGCAATGCAGTCCAGATGAGATAAACAAAACAGAAATGTTTTTTGTGAGATCTGAGAACAATACTCCTTTCTTCAGACATACATAAAACACATTCTACGTTTGCAAACCTGTATTTTGTAAAGAAGCTAAACTTACATATGCCCACTTAAAGCTAAAGTATAAAATATTTTGATCTTAAAATATTTCCTATAATATGAAATTGCACACTTTGAAGTTTGAACGTTACACTAAAAGCATTTGTGAGAGTGAAAAACCAAACACATTTGAATAAAGAACTGCCAGCAGCCAATCATTAATCATGTTACATGCAGTATGTAAACAATGTAAAAACCTACACTAACCGCTTTGGAAATCCGATCCTAGATATAAACCCCTATATAAGATCAACAAAAAGAACATTACGTTACCCTTTCCCTCTTTGGTTTTGGCTTTTTTGATTGGGCCAGATGGTGAGATCTGTTGGATACTTCTAATACAGATGGGCGGAGCCACATTGACAGTTTCCACAGCAGCAGCTACAGCAGCCGCTACAGCAGTTGCAGAGGTGCCTTTGAAAGGGTTGTTTGCACTGAACTCTCTCCACTTTGCTCCAAGCACCGTCATCATTTTTGACATGGGGATCTTGGGGTTCTTCTTGGCAATGAGAGGTCTAACCACAGAAAAAAGAGATTTGTGACCAATTTTAAAGCAATAAGCTACGAGAGGCCATGCATTGTGGTGATTTTACCTCAAGTACTGAATGTTCTCAGGCACTATGAATCAGAAATCGGAAGCATATACTAAAAGAGTCTCTATCAAATCAAATATTACGCTGGTTACAGTAGACATGCATGGTGTGGGTCTGACAGTACATCTTGTTTCAATGCCTGTTATTAGAAAACCTGTCATCATAATGTCATTAATTCATACAGGCATTAGCATTTGCCAGAAGGAATGTTTTAAAATAGAACAAGACATCTTGACAGCAGGGCAATAGAATGTCCATGCAGAAGAAAAACTGAAATCCTACCTAAGAAACTGGCTGAAGGCTTTGTAGTTGGTTATGGTTTTATAGTCGTCCTCTGAGAAGGCATACTGCACATCTTCAAGACCCCACTCTTGCATCAGCTGACTGGATGACTTTGGCTCCTGGTGTCACATGAGAAATTGTTATTCATTTATTCTCTTGGCTAATAGAGCATAATAGAACTTTTCTAAGTGAGAACCTTTAAGTTTCCATCATCGTCATCATCATCATCCTCATCATCATCTTTCTTTCGCTGTTTTGTTTTCCTCTCCTTCTTCTCTTTGGGCTTTTTCTTTTTCTTCTTCAGGGAGCTGAAGGTGCTGCTCTCACTTCCTGACCTGTGACCATGATCCTCTCTGTCTGACATGTCATCTAGCCCACTAGGAAGCCCCTGTGAGCACAGGCAGAGACATTATAGGAAAAGAAGATGGAGCACTCATGTAAAAATTAATGGGAGAATTGTAACGCTCAATATGGCGGCTGTAGGAATGAAAGTGCAGCTTTTCAGTAAAGAGCTAAACTCCTTTTTGGTGGAATCTGAACATACACATTAGATGGACCCAACTGAAAAATACCTTTCAGTTTTTTGCAAGATTTTAGCATGAAGCATAATTTATGGTACCATTAATGTCAGATTTTATTGCTGATTTTATGTTATTGAAACATGATCGTAACAAACAAATTTCCAAATTCATAGTAGCAAGTGTGTATTTATTTCCATAATGGTAACCGAAATGGCTCGGGTTACTCAACGTAACCTTGGTTCCCTGAAAGGAGGGAACTAGACATTGCGTAATCGCTAGGGGAAATCCCTTTCTCCAAACTTTCCTAAAGCCTCAACGTATCGCACTAACGTTGCAATAGCCAATGGCGTTCGAGCGCTGCTATAAAGGAAGCGCTGAGCACTATATTACCTCCGAATTTTTCATCAGAGTGACAGCTAATCATGACCCCTGAGGATATTTTTTATGCAATGTCTCATTCCCTTCTTTCAGGGAACCAAGGTTACATTAAAGGGACAGTTCACCAAAAAATGAAAATTCTTTCATTAATTACTCACCCTCGTGTCATTCCAACCCCGTAAGACCTTTACTCATCTTCGGAATGTTTATGGGCCTGGGAACATTTCAGTTACATTGCTGTCTATGCAGGGTCAGAAAGCTCTCGGATTTCATCAAAAATATCTTAATTTGTTTTCCAAAGATGAATGAAGGTCTTACACTGAGACAAGAGTTGCCCGTTCCGGTGCCTTATACACCCTCAGGACCTAACAATATGATATCCAATCACAATAGTACGGTGGCCCTGCTGAGATCACCAAACACTCTGTCACCGTGTCTACAGCGGCACGGCGTGACACAACAAAATATGTGCGCATTATAATCAGTGATGCTGTCTACATGCTGTCTACGCATTATAATCAGTGATGCTGTCTACACTGGATGCGGCGCGGCGCGGCACGACACGACACGACAAATCCTCGACAGTAAACTGCTGCCGCGTTCTATTTATGATGTGCTGACACAAATTTCAAATGATTTTCAACGGTCGCTTTTGTCGCGTCCAGTGTAGACAGACTTTAGCTGTTGCGGCGCGGCGAGACACGACAACTGTCGCGTCCGGTGTAGACATGGTATGTGACTCCAATAAACACACTATAAACAGTGCTTTTCAATGGGCACCGCCTGTGCTCGTTACAAGTTGGGAGCACCCTTGTGAAGGGTGGGCCTGTATCAAACTGAGCACAACTCCACTTCCCAAGAAATGGATTTCGAGGAGTTGTGGCTGTCTGAATACTGAAGTGGGCATTGATAATGCCCTCAAAACGCTGGGGCATTTTATAGCTTCATAACAGCTAGAACAGGGCAGCCTGTGCTTTGAATGTGTAACCTACCACTCCCAGATTTGGGCACTTATCACATTAGAAAAACAACAAATTTGATACAAATTTTACTGCAGACCAGTCTTCAATGCTATATGGCGCTCCTCTCGCATTGGGAACAGGTGACATTACCGCCACGAGTTCAGTATAGCTGGCTCAGGCTCAATGGCAGAGGCTGAGGTTGGGGTAGATAATAACCATTGCGCATTTGCGCTGTGCATAGAGGAAGAGTGCTGAAAAAAGCGGTATAGTCAGCGAGACAGCAAGCGGTGCATTTTGGGCTTATTTGAGGCAAGCCACTTTCTAAGACAGTGGGTTACTAATACATGCACAGCTGTCTCCACTCTGTTTGTGGCTGGCTGCTGCTCTGAGGTGAGGGGCTGTTGGTATCGTGTGAATGAGCCATCGAGTGACTGGAACTTCTCTGTGCACTGCACACAGCAGGCTGCTGCTTCGAGGCAGGGGGATGCCTGTATCGTGCGATTGAGGGACTGTGAACCTCTGTAAATCTCCTCTCATAAGCAGCACTGTCAGTGGCAAGGCCAATTTCCTGCTAACTTCAGGTCCCGACTTGGGGTGAGGAGAGGCTTGATACCCAAGTCCCGGGGGTAGGCAAACTCACGTAGCACTGCATCTGCGTGGGACAGCCCAGGTAGAGAGGCAGCGATTATTCACCCCGAAGACTAGACATGAGAAGTTTGGATCAACAAGGGATGCGGGAATTGACCCGTCACAGGCTTCTGTCTCCATGGCTCAGCAGCGGAGGGGAAAAGAAGTGCGGACAGCTTTTTCACCGTAATATAAAAGATGTCTTAATCACTGGAGCACTGCAGGGAACGGCAATCCAGGCACTGTCCACTGGAGCAATCCTTCAACAGCGAGAGATAGGAGGCTTCATAGCTACATGAAGGAGAAAGATTCTGAGGTAATATGGTGTGCTTGGCGCTGCCTTTATAGTGGCTGAGCCCACCAGTCAGGTGGGTGCTTGAACGTCATTGGCTATTGCAATGCAATAGCGTGATTCAATGAGGCTTCAAAGTTTAGAGAAAGGGATTTCCCCTAGTGATTATGCACTGTCGAAAGACCATCTTGAAAGGGAACCGATGTTTCATAATGAACCATAAATATTTTATACTTCTCAAAACAACATAAAAGATCTATTGTGTTTTGTGCCATTGCTTTAGCAAAGCACCTTTCAATCAAGCTAAAACCAAAATTGCGATATAGCTTAGTGCGCATAGCAAACAACAAAAAGCAGTGTGTTTCAGAATGAAGATCAGCACTGTGTTAATTTACAAATGAGCAGCTCACCATGTGTGATGTTTAACATGCATTTGGGAATGCAACATGTGCCAGTTATGCTTTATTTTCACATTTGCATAATCAACATTTTTGTGGACAGATGATCACAGTATTATGCTGGATTTTCACTGGAAGGTTTCCTTTGCAGTTTTCCACCATAATAAAATCTCAGCTCTTGCAAGTGAAGAAATTAAGTATTGTAATTTTACAATTGTTATGAAGCAATCTTTTTTTATTTTACAGTACAGTTGTATTACAATATATAATTAATAATAATAATAATATTTTATAAATATTTTATCAGAAATATGTTACTATTGTAATAAAACTGGGGGCATATTACAGAAATATATTTATTATTTTAGATAGAATTTTAGAATTATATCTTATCTGTTATGTAAACATGGCGATTCCAGTCAGGACCTCATTTAGGACAAAAGCTATTACAGAACAACATTTCCTATTATAATGATCTTATCTTAACTACAGATAGGAAAATGGTATTACAGAAGCATCCTAACTCAAAAAAAAAAAAAAAATCCTAAAAACTCTAACTTCAACCTTTTGGAAGCCAACTCTAAAAACACATTACATTAGCCCTTTTAATGAATGGCATTACATTTATTAATTATATAAGCCAAAGAGAAGTGACATTTGATGGTGCAGAGACTTTTGGATGATGTGTTGTGCTCTGATGATAAAATACTTGTAAATAATTACAGACTCCCGCTACACATGATTTTTCAGGTAGTTGTGCCAAGATGTGCCTCACAAAACCACAGTGCTACATATAGACAGAAATAGAATACTGTATGATTTGAACTATGTAATTATAACATTTTTTAGTATGTATTTTTAATTACATTTTATTTTAGGGTGACTTGTAACATCTTGTCCAGGGACTACGGATGTAAAATAGCCTTGGCTAATTCTGGTACATTTACAGGAATGTTTTATTAATGTACAATGTCCCTGTCAACTAAATAAATAAATAAAAAAAATAAATAAATAAAATATAATCCTATAAATAAAGAAATATATAAATATAGGATATATACAGTATATAGTTAACCAATTGCAACCAATGTTACAGAGACCAATGCACCATCATGGAGCATTATTACCAGTCATTCTGCAAGTTAAATGTATGCAGTTGTTTCTCCATTTTGGTTTTATGTTTACCTCAGCAGGTGGTTGCACATGGTTGGTTGTTTGGTAACAGGCCTGACAGTTGAATATCGAACTCGATGGAGCAGTTTAAGATTTCTTAACTAAGCATAAGATAAGATTTTGTAAGATAAGAATCCTAAATCAAGTTAAGATTTGCTTATGTAATACAAATTTGTGAAAAATCCTTAATTAAATTATCTTAAGGCCTAAGATAGGAAGTTTCTCTAATATACCCCCCTGTACTGTAAAATAAAAAAAAGATTATTTAAATATTATGATTACTGTTATATTTAACACCAACAATAATAATAATATGATGTAATTAATACTATACTAATTTCCCCATTCATAGAAAAAACAGCCTGGAAGTGTTACCTAGATGGTCACCAAGTGAACTGACTTGTCCTAAAGAGACTTTTGTGCTGACCTGTCAAAAATAGTGCTATAAACTTTATAGTGCACAATTTCAGTTTTTAGAAGCAAAAGCAAATATAACTGTACTTGTAGGAGGCATGAAACGGAGTTCCTTCTAATTGGGTAAGACCTCCCATCCACAGAATTGAAATAAAAACAGGGTTTTACTATAGCCTAACTATTGATTAATGTAAAATGAACTCCACATTTTCAATAAAGGAAAAACCAGATCATTATGACACTATTATTAGTAACATCTGGAAGCAGGGAAACCAATCAAAATGATCATACTGCTAGGGAACACACATATTTCAGTGGGTGAATTACACTGTATGTGTGTGTGTGTGTGTGTGTGTGTGTGTGTGTGCGTGTATGATTGGAGAAAGCCTTTTGCTGTGTTGCAGCTGTGCACTGGCTGGCAGACGTCTCTCCGGCGCAGGGTAGGCCAGCACTGCCGCAGAGTGAACAAGCTCCATAGGCAGCAGTTCTGAGTTGCCATGGAAACCAAACTGTGCAGTGTTGGAGGTGGGGGGTGTAGGGGGAGCTCTCTCTACTGCAGCAGCCAATGGAACAGCGCCATCCAATCAGATGCGTTTGCATAACGAGCTTGTTATGGAGAGTCCCCATGGTTGCAGTGCCTGTGTTCTAGGGCCCGTCTAGACAAATCTCAATCATGTACATGGGGGAGGGAGAAAGTGAGAGAGGAAGGAGAGGGAGTGAAAAAGGAGGGGTGCTCATGCAAGAGGCAATGAGTAGAACCACTAAAGAGCTTCACAGCTGGAGCTAAAAGGTCTCCCAAAATCCAAACCACAATTTTCTGACAATGAACCTCAATAGGAAAAAAGAGCCGATGTAAATACTGTGTGGTTTTCAGGCTGACACATCCTCCAGTTCATCCCTATAGAAAATGCAGTATTTAGGGAGAGTTTGGCTAAAAATGAAAATTTTCTCATCATTTACTTACCTTCGTGTTGTTACAAACCTGTTTGAGTTTCTTCTGTGGAACACAAAATATAAGTTTTAGGCAGATTATCATTTCCATGCATAAGATATCATTGGTTATTTTGTCTTGTGACCATTCACAATACATTTTAATGTTAAATCTAATTGGATGCAAATTAGTTTTGTGACCTACCGTGGATTATTACAATTTCAGGCTTTTCCACACACACAGTTATTGTATTGCTTTACAAGTTGGAAAATAGCAAATGAGTTAAATGAACAAAATGCAACTTCTTTATTAATTAATCTTATTTTCTAGTACAAATATCTAAACATACATAAAACAATAAATATTTTCTGAAGTAATATCACATTATACATTATGTTTTCAGAGAAAATATCTTGAATTAAGCTTATTTTCCTCTTGCCATTTTTTGGTAACACTTTACAATAAGGTCCCATTAGTTAATGTTAGTGAATGCATTAACTAACAATCTGCAATGCATTTGTAATTTATAAATGGTTTAGAAGTATTTTTTATTGTTAATTCATGTTAACTAAAGTTAACTAACAGTACTTATTTTAATATGTTACCTTTTTTCTTCTTTAAACATAAAACTAACCATATTTATTTAGGTTTATGCTTTTGCTATAAATGTTTTAATATCTTCTGACTGACATTTCAATATTTTGTCTAGAAAACAACACAATATTAATACTAACATTTTACAAAATTGCAAGACTTTTTATTTTGCAGTGCTTGTTACATTTATGCTACTTTTTGTAGTTTGACAGCCCCAGTAACTATTCACTTTTTTAGAATGTATGGAGAAAAAAGCAGCGTGAAGTCTCTGCTGCAGAAGAAAGCCAGTCATTCGAGTTTGGAACCACATGAGAGTAAGAACATGATGAAAGAATCTGCATTTTTGGGTGAACTATGCCTTTAAATGCTGCATTTTCTGTGGGAAAGAACTGCGAAACAGTGTCAGGCATCTTTAGGATCTTTTTTCCCCAAAACATCCTCAACATCTTCAACACACCAGACCAGAAAAAAAAACCGCTCATCTGTACTACTGAAATGTCACTTATCATTGTTTACATCTGACAGAGCACCAATTCTCACTCTCCCGTTACAATCTCTAGACTCTCCACAGTCTATCAGGCTCCGGCGCAGGTGGCCGGCTTTGGCGAGCTAAGCTGTTAGACTTAGGGACAGCAGAAGGGCAGGTGGCGGTTTTGACCCGCATTGATTTGAGCCCGTGTCTGACACAGCACTGCAGGGAGAGCATGACTGACACCAAGCAGGGCTCTTAGCTGCTGAGGGGAGACCTCTCTGCCCTCTCCACGGCACATTTACCACCGCTGAGAAGGAGGGAGGGTTGAGAGAAAGACTGAATCTGTGCAAGGAGGCAGATAAAGTGAGAGTGGGCTAGGGAGGAGAAAGAGTGGAATCCCTCTCATTATCTCAATGGCAAATACAGTCAGCTGGGGGGACTGTGACCGACTGACCTGTCAAATGTTTTATCTCTCGCCAAGGCACAGCTGACTGGAAAAAGGCTGATCGCTAAAAATACGACAAAATACCCCTAGGTCAGGCAAGTTGTTTCATACTGATCATTCAACTCATAGGAGCAGCATTTATGCCACGGCCTTGCAGACAAAAGCACACCTGGCCTTTTTTTATGTTTTTTTATGAGTACTGTGATGTAAAGTAGGCTGAAGTCAGATCAGGGCGCTACTTGTTGTGTGGATGGTCTAATGTCAGCCTAACTTTTCTGGGAGGGAGCCCTGAAAATATTTTTAATAGGACAGTGGAACACAAAAGAAGATATATTTAAAAAATACATTTAAAAGTGAGTTTTTTTATCCACACAATGAAAATCAATGGGGTTCCGTGTTATTTTGGACCCCACTGATTTTCATTGTCTGGACAGTTATCAAAACATCTTCCTTTACATTTCACAGACAAAAGTCAGTCTTATGTGTTTGGAACAACATAAGAGTGAGTAGCGATGACATAATTTTCATTTTTGCATGAATTATCCCTTTTAGTGTGTGTTAAATTGGAACTGTTTCAATTTTTCCCCATTCATAAAAAAAATTAAAACAAAAACAAAAAAACATTGGAAGTTTCAGTAATGATAAGTTGAGCAAACAAGTAGTATCTGACTGAACTTTAGAACATACTGAACTATTTGAACTTGACCTGACCAGGTTTTCACATCAGAAATCTAGTGACACATTTACAGTAAATGATCACGACACTGATAAAAACAAAAACAAAGATTCTATAAATGATAGAAATGCACATTTAGCCTAACAAATCTATGCCACATGAAAATAACTTACATTCTGATGATGTGATGACGACATCTATTTCATCCACGCTTCAATCAATTAGATAGCAATTAAAAGGCTCCTTACCTCCTTCTTCTTCTTTTTCTTAACTTTGGGTTCCTTTCCTTCCATTATCTTGCTGGGTTTCTTCTTTTTATGTTGTTTAACCGAATCATCCTCAGAGAAGAACCTCTCTAAGGGTGTCAGGGGAACACTCCTCTGACTTTCACCTTCCTCATCCTCATCTGAGAAATAACACAAGAGGTTCACACTTATGGGATTCATGCATACACTGCACCACCCCCAACTATCTATCTATCTATCTATCTACAGTTAGGTCCATATATATTTGGACACTGACACAATTTTCATTATTTCAGCTCTGTATGCCACCAGAATAGAATTAAAACGAAACAATCAAGATGAAATTGTAGTGCAGACATTTAAAGGGATAGTTCACCCAAAAATTAAAATTCTGTCATTAATTACTCGCCCTCATGTCGTTCTAAACCCATAAGACCTCCGTTCATCTTCGGAACACAAATTAAGATATTTTTGATGAGTTCTGAGAGCTCTCTGTCCCTCCCATAGACAGCAATGTAATTAACACGATCAACGTCCAGAAACGTAGCAAGGAGATCGGTAAAATAATCCATGTGACATCAGGGGTTCAACCGTGGCTGCGCCACGCATATACGTTGTTTTCATAAATAAACGTAGAAAACGTATTCGCGTGGCGCAGTTGACACAGAACAGCATATGCTGTTTGCGTTCAGTGGATACTCTATAAAATGGCGCCAGGGTGACGCGGAGGAGACGAATTGTTGAATAAAGTTATTTTTGTTTTCTTTGCGTACAAAAATAATTCTCATAGCTTCGTATAATTACGGTTGAACCCCTGATGTCACATGGATTATTTTACCGATCTCCTTGCTACGTTTCTGGACGTTGATCGTGTTAATTACATTGCTGACTAAATGCATCAAAAATAACTTAATTTGTGTTCCGAAGATGAACGGAGGTCTTACGGGTTTGGAACGACATGAGGGTGACTAATTAATTATCAAATTTTCATATTTGGGTGAACTATCCCGTTAAGCTTTAATTTAAGGGGTTGAACAAATATAATATAAAATGCTTAGGAATTACAACCATTTTTATACACAGTCCCCCCATTTTCAGGGGCTCAAATGTAATTGGACAAATAAATATAATCATAAATATATTTAGTTGAGAATCCTGTGCAGGCAATGACTGTCTTAAGTCTGGAACTCATGGACATCACCAAAGACTGGGTTTCCTCCTTTGTGATGCTTTGCCAGGTCTTTACTGCAGCTGACTTCAGTTGTTGTTTGTTTGTGGGTATTTCTGCCTTTAGTTTTGTCTTCAGCAAGTGAAATGCATGCTCAATCGGATTGAAATCAGGAGATTGACTTGGCCATTGCAGAATATTCAGTTTTTTACCATCAAAAACTCCTGGGTTGCTTTTGCAGTAAATTTTAGGTAATTTCCACTTGTACTATAAAGTGCCGTCCAAACAACTTTGCTGCATTTGACTGAATCTGAGCAGAGAGTATATCCATATACACTTCAGAATTCATACGGCTGCTTCGGTCTTCTGTCACGTCATCAATAACACCAGTAACCCAGTGCCACTGGAAGCCATGCATGCTCATGCCATCACACTGCTCACCATGTTTCACAGATGATGTTGTATGCTTTGGATCATGAGCTGTTCCAAACCTTCATACTTTTTTTCTTCCCATCATTCTGGTACAGGTTGATCTTGATTTCAGCTGTCCAAGGAATGCTTTTTGAAAATCTGGCTTTTTTTTTTGGCAAAGTCTAATAATCTGGCCTTGTTTGCACCTTGTAGTGAACCCTCTGTATTTGCTCTCGTGAAGTCTTCTCTTGATTGTAGACTTTGACAGTGACACGCCTACTGTACCTCCTGGAGAGTGTTCTTCTCTTGGCTGGA